TTATTTTATTTTACTCTGTTCCAATCTACCAAATTATTTTATATTCTGTTTTTAATTAATACTCTTTTATCTTTATCAACTTCTTGTTTATATTGAAAGGTATTGCAAACAGAGCAATTCGTCCTATACTTGGTATTGTTGATCCATTGCATACCCTACACATGCCAGAAAGAGTAGCAGCGAACAGTGGCTTTGATGTGCTATGGTGAGTGAGTTGATTCAATTGCCTTATGAATGAATCTCTCCAAACCTTATTACTTTCGTTTTCATTGCTATGCCCTGAYCGCGACAACCTTGAATCAGCCACGACAAGGAAAGTAGGCAATAATTATTATGATTTGTAGTGGTTTATGGTTTAAAAAGCTCCCTTTCCATGTGGATATAATCAARGGCGCTTTACATTGAGTTGCGTATTTACAAGGCAGATGCTTAGTTTGTGGTGTAGGCACTGAGGGTGGTCACTGCCAGGGTTTCTTTACGTCCTCAGTGGTTCTTTTACATCGCTCTGATATTGGTTAGTAGTGATGAAGTGTGGAGAGACGGGACCACCACTTATAAAGAGCTCATCAAACCACTTGAAGTCTAGCAATTTATTAGATGTGATTTAAAAGGCAGCACACTCCTCAGTTATTTTAAAGGGGGCAAATAAAGCTTTGTTACAGTAATGACGTTGATTGATATTATAGCAGCTCAATACAAGAAAATACAACAAAAGATGAATTAAGACGGCACACCGATCACCTTTACTCATGAAAGAAAGACAAACTCATGATACTTTAATTATTTCCCGTCATCTTTGTTTTGCTGRCTGCCTTATTGTCGAAGTACAGTAAAAACCCGCGTATAAGAACCTAGRGTTTTTCAAGTTAGCCTAAACAGGTTTTATATAAATGACTACTAATGGGTGCAGTATGGGACTCTGTGTTATACCTGGAAAGTACACCATCCCATGCATGTGATTTAATTACGACTTCATGTTGGTTATCCTGGCTGCCAGCCTGGGAGTTGCTTTGTTCTACATGAACTGTACAGTATTCTATATTAAATCCATGTACTGTGATTTCATARAATCAAAGGTTCATCTCAGTTTCATTTTTAGTTGGATTTTTTTATTCACGACGAGGACATGTTCTTTACAGTAACCATGTACAGTTATAGTGTTTATAGCATTATTGTGTACAGACTGTGTTATAAATATTTTTTTGAAAATATTCTATTTTTTTTTTCTTTTTTAAAGATAAGAACCTGTTTTAGGATTTTAGCCTAAAATGGTTCTTATGTGAAGGGTGCTTAAAAATGAAATTTTAGCCTAACAGGTTCTTAAATTTTAGGTTCTYATACGCGGGTTTTTACTGTATTCCATCGTTTGTAATTTTTAGCCCCACTCATCCCACACTCCTCTCCTGTTTGGGCCGCTATCCTTGAATTCCCAACGAATTCCCATCCAATTCCCAGAGAGAACGAAATTGGGAACRTGGCACTGATTCCCAATGTTAGTTTGTTGAGAATTTTGTCTTTCTATTTGGTATTAGAAGGAAATTCCCAACAATAAATCCCAACGTTGGCGTTCGAATTGGGAATTCAAGGAAATTCCCAACAATTCCCAATTTGGGAATCCGGTTTTTTTCCTGTGCTATTGAGGCTCCTTTGATTTTCTTGACTGYTTGTCTTCGCCATATCTTGCAGCCATTCAATCGAATCTTACACAGCTATCCCTTACACCAAGAGAGGACCTCGACCAGAAAACCCTAACATGAGACCTGCTTACCAGGGAAGCAATCCAATCAGTGATGTGTGGGCCACACATGCTCTAAATATTCTACACAAGTACATGAAGAGGTATTAGAGAGTTTAAGCTTCTCGTTTACGGCAAACGTGAAACGTCAGTTGACCATTAAAAAATTCTTTAAAATTAGTGAAAAGGAATCGCAAAAATCTCCAAGTRGTAKATAAACAAAAGAATACTTGTCTTTGTTGAGAAGGTTTGCAAAAGGTAAAGTGAAATGTAGGGAAGGAAAAACGTGAATCTAAATCTGCCTATTATTAAACTTCAAGCCGCGATGTGAAGGCGCCTTTGGAGTAGGAGAAAATGATGCACAATCTGAAATGGTCAATAGAGTAGCTAGAAAGACTGGAGTTCAAATGACTTATGCATTTACTGCGCTTCTCATTCACACGCATTGAATCGTACAATTTGCCATCGTGACGAAGTAGGTTTTGGTGGACGTCAGTTAATGCGTTTCCATGACATTCCATAGTCACGTGCCCTTAAAAGCTTCGTGTTTTCCGATAATGCTTGGAAACCCTTTGATTGGCGTTCAACAGAACTCTATTAAGCCCCGTTTACACTAGCGATTTTTGCTGCGATTTTTTTGCGATTTTGTCCATAATAAATAATGGTAAAGAATTTACTTGTAAAGTTTTTTTCAGGATACCAAGATTTTCCTARACGAATGTCTCTTTTGAAGGATGAGATAAAAGATTTCATATTTCCGAAAATTGCCACTAAAATCGCCTCAAAAATCGCCGCAAAAATCGCCAGTGTAAACGGGGCTTTATGTCTTGAAAATGCTGTGTAATTGAGAAGCACTGCAATTGATTACTTTTTCTACTCCTGTCGTTCAGAGCTGTTAAAGATCCTGAAGATTTAGAAGCAAGGTCTGCTATGCATTTAGCGAGTGTTTATGCTGGAGTAGGGTTCGGCAATGCAGGGGTACACTTATGGTAAGTTAGCTCAACCTTTTTTATAACTCTGGTTAGGTAATTAAAAAAAAAAAAATTTTAAAAAGACGGCTAACATAATTTGACAATGCTTAATATGTATTGAAGCGAACAAGAGAAAAAAAGTTATAAAATAAATAACAATTTTTAAAGCTATATTTTAATTTTGTTAAGTGTTTTTGGAAGATCTTTTTTTTTTTTTTTGTTTTTGTTTTGTTTTTGTTTTATTTTTTTGTTTTATTTTTTTCGTTTTTGTTTGTTTGTTTTTTTTGTTTTTGTTTTTGTTTTTTTGTTTGTTTGTTTTTTTTGGTTTTTTTGGATTAAAATGTGTTGACACCTTTCTAACATTTAATAGCAAGAATCTTTGAATGATATTCAGTATTTCTCATAAATTTATGTGATTCTTGTATGTCTCCGACATCATGTGTAGTCATGGAATGTCATATCCAATATCTGGTCTGGCAAAGTCCTACAWGGCTGCAGATTATGATGTTGAATATTCATTAGTGGTAAGTAATCTGGGCATGTTATACGTCATGGCACTGAACAACTCCACCCCTCCCCCCACTACCACCCACCCACCAATCACATAACCAATGTCTGTTCTGGCAAACTCTTTCAGGGCATATCTCTTCACAGCTCTTCGCATTTCTTCTCATCTTCTTTATGCTTAGTTTTGGATTTAGACTTTTTTGGCCGTCGGTTCACAAAACGTCTCCATGTATTTGATTTATTCAGTTGACATTTCCCTTCGTTTGTCTTATAGCCACATGGTCTATCAGTAGTTCTCACAGCCCCTGCAGTCTTCAGTTTCACAGCACCAGCCTGCCCTGACCGACATATCGAAGCTGCTAAACTATTAGGTATGGACTGTTATGTTATCAGACGTTCTCTGGACCCGGGGGGAAGGGGTACTCCCATATATGGACTATACGGGGATGATCCGCTGAACAGGGTATGGTTTTTCGAGCTTCTTRTCATAAACAGGGTATGCAATTTCACTCAAGTTCCAAGTTCTTCCTGAGTTTTCTGTCATATTCAGGGTTTCTACTTTCGTATTGACCGAAACTGGTTATTATAATCGTAAAAAAAAAAACGATACGCGAGATGACATGATAATTGAAACAGGAACTCAGTGCAATAAATGATATCTTTAGTCAGTAAAATATGATACAAAAAAGTACATTATGACACCTAATACCTAYACGACAAATGTTCTTATTCTTCACCCCGTTTGAGCCTTTTAAGCTGCATGCGCCATTATCTGCTATTCATCATTTTTTGGCATTTTTTTCCAAAATTAGGCGAGCCTTTTCTCAAGAATGTGCGATTTCCTATACTAATGTAGTATTTTTTACATCTTGATATAATATATACGCCACCCTTCCTTTCCTTATTTATTTATTTGTTTGTTTGTTTGTTAACAAGGTGCTGACACGACCAATGTAAAGAGGGAAGATGCTGGATTACTTCTGTCCGACACGCTCCGTCAGTTCATGTTATCATTAGGTGTTGATAACGGTTTAAAAGCAATTGGTTTCAGCAACGATGACATTCCCGCTTTAGTCAAAGGAACATTGCCCCAACAACGGGTTACGAAACTAGCCCCAGCGGGTGCCCCTGGGGAGGAAGAGTTGGCGATGTTGTTCGAAACATCAATGACTGTGTATTAATCTTTAAAGTGTAAAAGTAACCAGTGATGCTGACCATAATCCCAGAAAGAAAAAAAGAAAATTCCGGTTGAAAAAACCTAAAGTATGTCACATTCCAATCTTCCAACCGAGGGAACCACTTTTCCCGCTCTTTTAGATTCTTCCGATAGACGCGTGCGTGTACATTTGTCGGAAGTCAAAATTTTCCCGCTCTTTTCTTACAATTAGTAAACGAATTTCCAACCGGACAGAGTGGTTGAACAATAGTAAGCAGCCCTCAGGAAACTTTTGGAATCCTTTTTTTTATACGGGAGTTGTGAAGCTATTCAGTTTTGATTTGGTCATATCGATATTAATCTAATTTCTTGCTGAACACATATTACTAGCAAGAGTATTTGTGCTTTAAGGAAGGGGTGACTGGGGGGAGGGGGAGCGGGGTTATATTAGGGACCTTAAGCTGCAGGACGGGAACGACGACGACGACGGCAACCATACAATAGCACYAATTGCGCTATTCAATAGATACTCGTTGGAATGTACGAAATACTGTGCATCGTTGCCGTCTTATGCTGAAAGTAAGACGTGAAATGTCCTATTTTTACGTACTAAAGAGAACGGCTACGACAAAAGCTTATCTTTGCTGATTTTCGTTATAAGTAAAGCGCTCTCCCAAAAGACGTCTTTTCACTCTAAAACGGGGATGCTTATTGAATAAAATACTAGGTAAACACGAAATAATAATACAATAGAAGGTTGAAGCGCCTAAATTTTGCCGACGTTGTCGCCCACGTTGCCGTCCTGCAGCTTAAGGTCCCTATTGTCACAACTTCACAAGGAAAACCGACCAAAAATAATAAAGTTGGCAACAGTGGATGTACACAACTTAGGCCTAAATAAAACCTTTTTTATGAAAATCTATTGAAGCTATGTTAGTATTAATTTGTTCTCGCTATGTTTCACTAGCTACCCGGGGGAGGGGAGGGGAATGGGATAATTTGATGACGAAAAATGAAATTGGGCAAAGGCTCTATTTCTCCAAGGAGTTGGCTAGAAAATCCTTTAATGGTCTTGAACCGTCATGTTCAGTTGAAAAGGATGTATTTCTCTCGAGATGAAAAGGTTCAAATCTTAAAAGTTCTTCAAGTGTTGACCGAAGACTTTCAAAAATAGCCTTTCTTCGGCCCTTTTTTCCAGCAGTCTCGCATAATCTCGGAAACCTCTTCCGGACAATCTCGTGGGCATAACATTCAACAAGGCTGAGTTCATAAAGTATGGCAGAGGGGGGGGGGGCAGGTGAAATTTT